GCTTCTCAGATCCCCGAGTTATCAACTTACCCGAAAAAAAATTTTACGGGCCCATACGCGACCATGCATACACGGGGGCTGGGTCTGAGCTCAGTAATACCTACTTGGACGGGGAACATCCCCTTAAAATTTTAGCTCCCAAGCGTTTCTGGTTCCCGAGTTAGCAGCTTACCCGTAAAAAACTTTGACGGGCTCTTGCGTGGATACGACGCAGGTAATGGCATCCATTTTGGGGATTGGGACTCGTACGTGCATGTAAATTAAGTTCCCAAACTTCGGCCCTGTAGCTTTCGTAGGTCTTTAGATGAAAAACCATACAGACGAACACAGAACGGACAAACCCTCGTCAATATGCGTTTTCTGCATTGCATGGCTGCAAAAAACACAAAAATTGAACGAATCGCTGAGAGATTGATCGTCTCGCCGGCTGATTTAATCCCTGGACTTTTCGCAGGAGAGCAACTTCATGTTCCCAGCACTAAAATGCCATTGTGCTCATTCTCTCTAAATTTTTCGCTATACAGTCATCCTTCTGCAAATGCGCTGTTTGCTGTTTCAGTCTAGAGTTCTTGATATTTAGATAATTTATTGAAAAAAACAGACTCAACGCCGCTTGAAGCAGCACGTGAATGGGAAATGGAAATGGAACGAGAGGAACTCGAAGAATTAGCAAGTGTTAGTTGCGATGTTTATTTCTGTTGGCGAAAGGCATAAAAGATGATTCATAAAAAGATTTCTTACTGAGTCTTATCGTGCAGTTACGCTTTCTTTTCAGAAAGGTAGCATGTAGTGAGGGGAGAAAACCTTTCTGTTTTCCAGGTACTTAAATCCACAAATTGCTCGGATGTTTTCGAGATGGATGTCACAAAGATAATGCGAACACTGATCACAGTACCGAACGAAGGACTGATGTATGAGAATCCAAAAATTAAGATTAAAGAGCTCAGTCAACGATTTGCTCATTTCAATTATACATACCAATACATAACAAAGTATGTACTCTCGGAGTGTTTGCTAAAAAACCAACATCAGCGTAGGAGCATAAACTCATATAATACTGCATAAGGTTACGTCTCGAAAATATGCGAAAAGTCGGTAAGAAAAGAAGCCACCACAGAAGACGGTGTGTGGTGCTTAAGAAGAAGCAGAAGTTTCCCTACGATTGCTCATGGCACACAAAAGCCGGTGGTGCAATGGTTAACACTTCGCTTTCGTGTGGGAAGACTAGGAGTTCGATTTTCTACCGTCCCTGTTCATTCGCGAGAAGAGCCCCAGTTTTTCAGTCACTATGTGCGATTTTGGTAAAGACATCCAAAAAAATGTAAATCGTGTTTTTTTATTTATCACAAAACTGCATTTTCGCGAATTTTGCGTTGATTTAGTAAATATGTTGTATTTTTCAGCATAGTCCATTTCTATCTCAGCTAAATTTTTGCTTTTCCCACATATTTAGTCTTTTTCTTAATAAAATCTTATTGAGCCTAGTTTATCTGTCTTGTTTTCTGTTGCATACCTCATTGTGGCCAAGAAATGACAACGCTTCAAACGAGTTGATTGTGTTCACTAGGTACTGGGGACATCTCGTAACAGCTAAGGCTTTGCCAAAATGATTCTGACAGGGAACTATCGAACTCTTTTGTCCTTAGTGATTGCAGAAATCCAGGAACGTCAGTAGATTGACCACCAGTCGCCGTAGCATTGGTGAGAATAATAAGAAATGCATAGCTGAAAAAAGTCGCCTTGAAATGTGCGTGAAAAAAGTAATAAAGTAAGGTTATCTGAGAAATTTAGGTTAAGTGTGAAACCGGATTGTACGGAGCAAATTCCGGGACGATATATACCGCATGTGGTTTCACTGGAACAGTATGGTGTTGATGTCGAGGGGTCGGTGATGGGTGATGGTGCCGCACCACGATTCCTGCTCTTCATCGCCAAAGTTTCTTCAAGCTATCTGCGGCTGCTAAACATCTCAACTCCGTACGTATCTTAGTGTTACCTA